AAGCGCACTGCCACTTGCGAAGTCAGACCGAGCAATCACAGCCGGAGTGCGTTTCGAGTAGGGGAGGAGAAAAAAGCAGAGATGGTATTGCAATAATAATAATTAATAATAATTAATAATAATAATGGCATTGCAGAAAAGAATGCATTGACGATAAGTCTTGTTGGGGAAGGATTATATGGCTTCAACAATCGCACTGCAAAACAAATTGAACTACAACAAAAATCGGCATTGCAAAGGAGAGGCGAGACTGCGAGGCAATGAATGTGGCGCAGGGGGCAATCCTGTTTGGATCCCTAACTGTAAACTTGCACTTGCAACGGAGCAGAATTTTAGTGTTTCAAATAATTTTAGCCACTCCTCTCAGCCCTTATAGTTCACTTTTTTCTTTCTTTCTTTCTTTTCCTTTTTTTCCCTCCAAACTGCCAGCTCCTGCGGTGGGGAGGGTCAGTCCGTCAGAAAAGTTCCCCAGAGCTGCCAAACTAGTTCTGACCAGTACTGGGGCTTATCTGGGATTTCCAGTTGGACCAGCTGGCTGGTGTAGCCAAAGGTCTGTTGAGGGCTGCTCTCAGCCACGGCCGCGGGGTGGGGGTGGGGTGGGGGGGCTCTGTAGTCTCCCTCCATCGGAGCACCCCTCTCTGAACTGGGCGGGACCAGTTGGAATGAAGTGGGAAGTGCAGGGGTGTTCTGAGGAGGGCAAGACCAGGGCTGGCTGGCATTTCTGGAGCACCTTGAAAAGTTCAGGAATGGGACTCTGGAATAGCAGTCCGTGGTCTGTCCCTATGATCACAGGCCTAAGAGATCCTGGAGGGTTTTGGTTCTTCCCAATCAGGCCATGGACACCAGCTGAAAGAGGGCGACTGGGCTCCACATTCATAGGAACCCCATCTCACATCAAAGGGCATCAGCACCCTCACACTGATGCCTCTGCGAGGGTGGATTTTGTATCACATATGGCTACGTATCTCCCCAGATATAATCAGTGCCCAGCTCAGACCTGGCACTTGGTAGGGACTCACTGAAATTGGGGGAATGATAATAAATAGAACTCAAGTTAGACATTGTATCAGAACTTGAGTTTCAGTGTTGGATTCCTGTGCCAAAATTAGGTCACTATATGAATAATACACCTTTCCTGTCCTCAAAACCCAAAAATCTGGTCGGGGAGTATTAAGTATTTATGTTATAGTGAGGAAAGTGTTCTCATAGAGGAATGCTTAATGGCAATGGCAGCTCAATTTATATATATATATATATATATATATATATATATATATATATATATATATATATAAATTCATCTTAATAAACTCAACCTATAAAAATAAATGCACCAAAACGTTGTTTCTTAATAGTGGTGGGTGGCTTTACTTTCTTTTGTGTTTTATACTTATACATTTATATTTATTTTCCACAGTAAGCAGGTACAACTTTATAATCAGAAATCATTAAACATTACTCTTTTAAAAGCGCTGTGCTCACACTTAAGATCAAATATACTAATGATGAAGTAGAAAAACCAAAACCCCAAATTACCTTACTGTGATTTAGGAGATACATTATACAGATGAACCCCATCAACACACACCTCCCAGATCCAAATGTACAGGTCAAACTCCTTTAACCAAGCCCTGGTGTGTATGTGGTGCCCATCAGACATGCTCATGAGTTGTCCTGATGCAGATGTTGGCCTTATGTTGCCCCACACACTTGTGGTAAAAAGAAGGCCACTCTATTGTTTCAGCAGATTTATCTTCGTAATTATTATTTTTTTGGACTGATCTTAAGTGAGTTTTTATTTTAATAATACACTCCTATGGTCATCAAGGGGAAGTAATGTATAGCAGGACTTCTGACAATTCACAAGATGGATCATGCAGAGTTGGCCATATTTAATGAAAGTCCCTGAAGCTCCAACCTATGCTTGCAATGTAATTTCAAGTAGCACCATGCCCAACCGCTTATCCCATCTAAATGAGGGTGACCCCTAAATATGTTACCCGTCTCATCTCCAACCACCTTCCTGGACACAGCACACCCCAGACACCTTAACCTATTTGACATTTCCCACGCTAGCTTGTTTTATGAGGTCCCAAGCCTTTGTGCTTGCTCTGCCCACAACCTGGGAAGCATTTCCTCCTGGAGTGCACGGTGACCTCAACGTCCCCTGAAGACCAGCTCAAATGCCATCTTCGCTGTGAAGCCTTCTTCAACCACTGCCTCTCCTCAAGCACAGGCGGTTTTTTTCTACTATCTTGTCCCACAACCTTTTATCTTCCCTCATTGGCATGAGCTCTTTGAGAGGTGACAAAAAGGCTGAATAACTTTAACATCCCAGGTTCCTTGCACAGGGCTGGGGAGTAAATGCTTATAGAACAAATGCATTAAATAAAGACACAGAGAGCACACATCGGAAACCTTTTGCATGGTTTCTTCTGAAACTCCGTCCCTTTTGGAGTTGGAGGGTAATCCCAGTGACCACAGGACAGAACGCCGATTCCACTCCTTGTAAGACAGGCACATTCATGAACGCAATAAATACCACTGCACCCTCAAGTTCAAACAAATTCCCCACCCGAGTCAGTGTAAATAATTCTCACAAGGAGGCAGTTCCATTTCCCAAGAACCCAGAAAGAAAAGAACAAACAATGAAATGAATGCCAACAGAGTAAACACAGACTCAAATATGTTTTGCATGTAGGTGCGTAGAATGGATTCTAGAGAAGGAACGACAGGTACAGGATACTCCAAGAAACACCCTTGGGCAGCCTCAGAGCAACCAAAAGAGTTTCTGTTTCCTGGGTGACTCTCACAGTCAGTCTGTTAACATAGCTTCATGGAGAACCTACTAAGTGCTTCCTCTGCCTTAGTGAAAACCATCAGAGTACCTCTTTGATCTAGAGCCCACAGCCCCAGGCTTTACACGTACCAGAAACTCAAGATGTTGGTGATTCATTGATTGGCAAGTAAAGACAGTTCAAAAGAACAGATTTCAGAGGTGGTTAAAAATGTCAATTTCAACCAAATTGTAGTTGAATCCTCTCTTTAATACCCCTGTCAAATGGTCATCCAAGTTCCTCTGATAGAGTTCTAATGTCAGGAAGTTTACTGCCACCCCTTAACTTTTGCAAACTCCTCACTTCATCGTTGGAAGGTCCTCTGTCTAGATACACTGAGATGGAATCTCACATCGCGTACCTTCGAGCTTGGTTTTCCCACCTCGAGTCTCCTGTCAGCCCTTCAGATATGGGAAAACTTGGGATCCTCTCTCCTTAGGAACTTTTTTTTTTTTCTTCATCCTTACCAGAGGAGTGAGGATATTTTTTTCCATTGCTTTTTAGAGAGAATGGAAGGGAGCGGGGAAGGAGAGAGAGAGAGAGAGAGAGAGAGAGAGAGAGAGAGAGAGAGAGAGATATTAACGTGAGAGAGACACATAGATTGGTTGCCTCCTGTTCACACCCTGACTGGGGCAGGGATTGAACCTACAACAGAGGTATGTGCCCTTGACCAGGCTCTTTCCTTAAAATCTTGTCTGTTTTCTGCCCAGACATTTTCACATCCTTTACCTTCACCTCTCTCATATGACCTGGATTCAGTGATGATAGCTGTGGTAACTACTTTTCCTCCAAAGCATTCTATAAACCAGGGGTCCTCAAACTACGGCCCGCGGGCCACATGCGGCCCACCGAAAACATTTATCCGGCCTGCGGGTGTTTTTGCCGCCGCTGCCTGTTGCTTAGCAGCCAACTAGGTTCTTTTTAAACTATAGTCCGGCCCTCCAATGGTCTGAAGGACAGTGAACTGGCCCCCTGTTTAAAAAGTTTGAGGACCCCTGCTATAAACTTGCATGTCAGGCACCAAGATCTCAATTAATTTCACACCGAACCCTTGGAATAGGTCTCAACCCCATGACAGAGTTAAGAAAACTGAGACTTATGGCAAAACAGTTTGGCTCTGGGAAGTCCTGGAAGGTTTGAGGTCATATTTGAGAGCTTGTTTGGAGGTTCTAGCAGGGGAGTGCAACTACTCATATACCTTTGACTAAAGATCGGTGTGGTCCTCTCCTCCCGGGGGAAGGTCATCCGCTTCTACAGAGTGCACAGCTTCAGGAGAGATGCACATGGGTGAGGGAGGAAGGGGAAGCTCGCCTAGCCAGCCAGATCAGGCAAATCAACCCTGGCGACAATGGGGTGACAGATGTCGAAGCCAGATCATCCTCACATCCCATATTTGCACTTAGACAGACTTAGCCATGTGAAGGAAGGCTTAGAGGGGAGGCAAAACTGGGGAGTGGGAGGACTGTGGAGGCTGACTGTGCTCTCCCTGGCCCTCCCCTAACTCCCTCTTTCTGTGGACCAAATGTGCTTTGCCTCTCATCCAAGTTATTTTAATGGAGCAGAAAATGTACACATCTGGGGCAGCTTTGCAACTGCAACTCTATTGTGCTTTCCTGTTGTGTTTTGCAGAGCCTTGGGTTAATGTCAAGCTCCTTCGGTTCAGCCAGCTGAAGCATGTTCAGTGGCAGCAGCGGGACTTGTGTTTCATATTACTGCATGGAATTCTCAATGTACTTTGCAAAACTATTTTAAGGAGACCTGGGTTCTGTGCATTTTTAAAGCAATTGGAGCGTGTCTTTTCAACCTCTCTGCTAATGATTGACCACATTTTTTCATGATTTTGCTTTTTGTCCCCTGTGATATTTAATTTGACTTTTCAAGTATTTGCTTTTAATTTTTTTTAAATTTGCTCAGAAAAGTAACTTGTGCAATAATCTCAGGACCACTGTCTTCTTGGGTGAGTTTAAGGAAGACATGTTGT